GCAGAGACTAGGGACATTTAAAATACTTGTTATTTCCATCTCTTCAAAGGCAATACATCACATAGAGCACTGCTTAAGAGTAACAAGAGGCTTTTTTGCTTTTGTGTTGTTGCTGCTGTTAACACATTAAGTGGTAGTATGTTAGACACATTCTGCATTTTCCCCAGCACAGAATTACTGCATTGATTCTAAGGGGGCATATTGTCACACAGCTGCAGTAGAAGCCTGGTATCAACCTTTCTGCACACAATCCTGTGTTGCATGTTTGTACATAAGGAAGAAATGGTATTTTGTACTATAGAAGTTGCTCTTTGATGAACCCTGCCAATGTTCCATTTTCCAATCCACATTTTATTCCCCTTAGAATCTTTTCTCTCCACTGGATACCAGCAGTAGACAATAACTTAAAGAATTACAAGCCTGTTTTTTTTTCTTTTTAGATATATATCATCCTGAGCAAAGCCAACATCAGTGTGCATATCTAGAAAGATTTCCCTTTATTTGGAAAGTCACACAATTAGCTATACTTGCTTCATTTCTAATTTCATTTCTAATTTCAAAGAGAATGGAGACACATTTGCCATGAGGTTTCTAATAACATATTCCATATTCCATGTTTAATTAAGAGCTTCTATCAAGAAAGAGAACCAGAATCCCTTTTCTTCATCAGAAAATAGCAGCCAGAAAGCCAGTAGGGCTGACCCTAGCCCAGAGCAGGCTCGTGGTTAATGCTGACAGGGACAGAGTGGTAAAGAAAGGTGTTGGCCCAGAACAGATTGCCTGGGGAGAACTGGACCTGTCAGGCTCAGCTGAGCACTGAGCTGGTCATTTATCACTGTCAGAGGGGATGGGCTGGGAGCTGGGGGTGGGGGGAGTTAGGGGGTGAGGGGGGTGCTGACTGATAACTGACATCACCGTCCTGCAAGGTGGAGGAACATTCTGCTATATGCTGGGAGAATTGCTAAAACCACATAGGACCTTCCATCCACCGTGTTGTACGGGACTGTTCGTAGAAGCAGAGTTCAGAGCATGGGAGAGGCTATAGGATGAGCATATGCTGTAGTGGGCTGTGCACTGATAGGATGAGCAAATGCCGTGCACCTTAATTACCTTCCTAGGACCTGGATCCTCTGCACAAGGTCAAACATATCCACAAATGTCGGAGAGAACATAGATAACTTCACTTTATCTGAGTATTGGGGTGCAAAAGCCACCCATGCCAGCAGAGTTGCACCCTACAAGTCTGTGAAGACTATCTCAGGAAAAAATAATGAAAAGTATTATTTCTCTGTGGTGCTTTAGTGACATGTTTTAGCATCTTAAAATCTAAAATACTGCCGGGCGCTGGTGGCTCACGCCTGTAATCCTAGCTACTCAGGAGGTTGAGATCTGAGGATCGCGGTTCAAAGCCAGCCCGGGCAGGAAAGACCGTGAGACTCCTATCTCCAATAAACCACCAGAAAACCGGAAGTGGTGCTGTAGCTCAAGTGGTAGAGCGCTCGCCTTGAGCTGGAGAGCTGAGGGACAGCGCCCAGGCCCAGAGTTCAAGCCCCATGACCGACAAAAAAAAAAAAAAATCTAAAATACTTCATAATAAATGGGGAACATCGATGTTCGTATAGAGGGTGCTTATCTTGAATTATAGTTCAGCACCGTTGACCTTCACAAGGATGTCACTCGCATAGGCTGAAACCTAGATCTTAATCCGTCAGATAACCTTATTTTAACTCTCACAATTATTTAAGGTCCATGGTCATTAAGAATTATTTGCGCTAGTGGGGAGCATTTCGTGAAAGTCAAGTAGAAATTTTCTATCTATGAATACATGATTGTAGCCTTCCCAGACATGTAAGATACATTTTTAAAAATTGGCAACCAATGAAAATATTCAAAGAGTGAAACCAGCTACTTCTTCAAACTCAGGGAGTGACAGGGGAGCGTTTTTATTTAGAAGTTTAGCCTGGGAGTGTAGGCTCACAGTGGGCACTGGAAAGAAGGGGTGCTGTGGACACAGGCAGGGTGCATGCATCTGGTGGGGAACAGGAGTGAAGAGGCGGACGAAGGGTGAAGATAGGGTGAGACTCTGGGCCTTGTGACTTTCCCTTGGGGCTGCTGCTGACCCGTGCTTGGTAGCCATACCGATGATAAATTGGTCCAGACAGCTCACCAGTTTGAACTGAGGGTGGGGTTTTGGGGGTTACTAACATGGCTGAGAAAGGCTATAGCTCTGTCTGGCCTAAAGGTCAAAGACTAAGGGTTTGTAACTAAAGTCCTAGGTCAGGGGCCTGACTCTGAGAGTCGGGGTTCCAACAGACCAGACTTTGCCACCCTGAGAATCCAATCAGAGACATGATGGTTAAGCAAGACAGGAATAATTTCTTATACCTTGTCGCCACACTGGGAAATGGGAGGACTAGTGTCCTGAGCCCTGTCTTTGGGGCCTGTGTTTTGGAAGGAACAATATCAGGGAGCAGGCAGTACGTGTAGGCCAACAAGTCTT